TACACAACAATGTGTAAAGAAACATATGTACATATGGATAAGTCTGTACAGTAAAATGAATCGTTATACGCAGCTAATTTGTTTTTATTAATCTAGTTGTGTTTTAGTTTTACTAGTTTATGTTAACTATGTTTTTAAAAAATTTGACATCGAAAACAAATATTAAAACTCAAAAAAATGTTTGGTAGGTTTTGGTTGGTTATGGTAGGAAATTTTGGTAGGAAAAAAAATTTGTCTGTGGCAACGCTGATGGCAATGCAAACATTTACATTCACGAAAGCCTCTCCAAAGCAAATCGTGCGATAATGCACTATGCAACTCAACTCAGGCGCGAAAAACATCTGTCAGCTGCTTTCTCAATACGAGGCGAGGTTCTGGTTAGAAAAAAGAGACGGTGATATGGCCATAAGAGTATTTGATAAAAAGAGTATTGACGAAATTGTTGGCACAACCTGAAATACATAATCAAGTAAATGCACTCTTCGAATTACTTATACTGTATATGCTATTGTTTAGATGTAATGTTAGGTTTAAGTTTGTCTCATTTTTTCTTCTTTCTCCTTCTTACTCTCGCCTTAACTATTTTCAGTAGTCTTACAATGAGTCTTGCCATGATTGCTTGTAGCTTGATCTGTTCTTACATTGTAGACATGAGAATGTTTCCTTTTCAGTTCAGTGCAGAAAAGTCTAATTTAACATGACTGTTATGCAAATGTCCGGCGCTGATGGAAATCATAAGCTAATGCTAAATATTCTGTGTAAGCAATCTGCTGGTCTGAACATAGTTAATTTTAACGCACGCAGCCTGTGTTCTGATAAAATGGACTATGTTAGACATATTTTTGAACAGTCTCTAATAGACATCATCTGCGTGTCCGAAACTTGGTTCGGTGGTAATGCATCAGATTTTCACTGCTGTATTAACAACTACAATGTGCTTCGAAATTATCGGATAACCAAAAGGGGAGGTGGTGTGGCAATCTACTGTAAAACTTCTCCCAGCATCAAACTTCTTGCTATGTCAGTTGACTCTGACATAGAATACTTAATTACAGAGGTTACTGATGGTATATCCAAAGTTTTGATTTCATGTGTGTACAATCCACATAAATGTTACCCGCTAGACTGTTTCTTTTCTGAGTTGTCTCTGTTTCTTATTGATTATGAGTGTTATGTGATTTGTGGAGATTTCAATGTTAATTTGCTCGTCAATGATTCTAGTAGCATTAAACTACGTGATCATATAACAGCAGCCAGTCCGGCTATTGTCAATGACGCAATGCCTGCCAGTAACTCTAATCCCAGTCTTTTAGATTATTTTATTACGTCCAACTTGTCTTATGTACTAAAATTTTACCAACTGTGTTTTATATCGGACCATGATTTAATTTTTTGTATTGTTGATGTTGCATTTAATTGTCCAGAAGCTAGTATTGCTTTCTTGTACCGTGATTTTAGTTCCTTAGACACTAATGCGTTGTTTTCTGAATGTAAATATATATGTTGGAATGATTGCTGGTATTACGAGACGGTTGACAAGAAACTAGAATATCTCAACAATAATTTATCTGCTCTATTTGATCGATATGTCCCTATACGCACTGCTAATACTACTAATAAATCTTGCCCTTGGTACAGCGGAAAAGTAAGTTTCGCTATAAAGAAACGCAATAAACTGCATGCCAAATGGAGAAGGTCGAATACTGATGCTTTGTGGAACTTGTACAAATCTGCTCGTAATGAAGCAACAAATATTATTAGGCAGGCAAAAAGGCGTTACTACAATCGTAAACTAAATCCTTCTCTTCCACCCGAAATTTGAAAAGTCTACGAATCCATGGAAAAACGAATGAAAAATGTCAAGTAGACCCCGACACATTAAGTGAATATTTTATTAGTTCAAGCAATCTCTGCGACTCTTTTAAAGCTCAGGATATTGCTGCCAGTGCTTCTGTCATTAAGGATGCTTTTGAATTCCGAGGAGTTAATAAGGACGACGTTATAAAGTCTCTAATGGCTATCAAGTCGAATGAAGTGGGTAATGATGGAATATCGCTGAAATTTGTCAAAATCGTGCTTCCTTTTATTACAAATCCTCTTACTCACATAATAAACCATTGTATTACAAGTGTTGTTTTCCAGCTGCTTGGAAAAAGGCAATTATCTTGCCTGTACCAAACAAAGCTCTTCCTTCTGATCCCTCGGACTATAGTCCAATTAGTATTGTACCAGTATTTTCGAAAGTATGTCAGTCTTTAATGACCGAGCAGATCTCAAATCACATTAAAGAAAATAACTTGCTATCTCCATTGCAGTCTGGTTTTAGGCCAAAGCACAGCTGCGCCACAGCTATGACCAAAATTTTAGATGATATTAGAATACCATTCGATAATGGAGAACTTACCCTTCTCTGCCTCTTAGACTTTTCTAAGGCATTTGACTCGGTCAACCACACTTTGCTCCTTTGGAAACTCAGGAATTACTTTGCCTTTTCCGAAAGCTCTATAAAACTTTTAGCTAGCTACCTTGAGGGTAGAGTTCAACAAGTTAAAGCAGATAGTGTTTCATCCCGGGTCAAAGCTCCAATAGCGGGTGTTCCTCAGGGTTCGGTTCTAGGTCCTTTCTTATTTAGTATGTTTGTCAATGACGTGTTTTTAGTGTGCAAATATGTCAACGTCCATGCGTATGCTGATGATATTCAGTTATATCTGTCTAATCGCATTGGCATTGTCGAAGATTTAAAAAAATAAAAATGCTCTATCCTTAAATGCTGCAAAATCTTATGTTATGCCTATATGTAAAACTGAAGCTGGTACTAAAAGCATCACATCGGTATGGATCGGTCCAACTGCCCTCAAAACTTCCGAAAAGACCAGAAACTTAGGTTTTATTATAAATAATAATCTGAACTGCTCCGACCATGTAAACAAGGTTGTTAGCAATGTATTTGTTATATTACGAAGTTTGAGAATCTCTGCGTCGTATACACCCCAGGAAACGCGGCGGAAACTTGCCCTGCAGTTAATTGTACCCCACTTCACATACTTTGAACTAGTTTACACCAAACTTGATTCAATTTCAGCCAGTAAGATTAATGTAGCTTTTAACAACGTTACGAGGTATGTGTACGGTATTGGTCGTTTTGCTCATATATCGCCATGGAGAGATAAAATTCTAGGATGCAACATTTTGAACTTTTTGGCTGCAAGGAACTGTATGTTCATATTTAAATTGTTAGAGCGGAAGCTTCCTCAATATTTATATGACAAGCTTGAACCAACCAAATCACTTAGAGATAACAGCCTGGTTGTCCCTAAATTCAATTCTCTAACCTCCAGCCGGCTGTTTTTCGTTGGCGCTGCAAGATTGTGGAGCTCGATTCCTAACTGTGTAAAAACTGGACTGAATAGGAGTAACTTCAAACGGGAAATACTTCAATATTTCAGTAGTATTGATTTGATACTTAACCTTCTTACTTATATCTACTATCTACTTCTTCCTATCTAAACTATCTTTTGCTTTGCTAGTATATATTTAACACTTTAAGCACGAATATTTATAATTTTCTATGGTAATTATTATTATATATTTATTATTATTTTTTCTATTATTTTATTGTAATTTGTTATAGTAAGATTTTAAATATTAGTTGATGTGCATATAAAAGACTGCAGTGTCTTAGTTGTACAAATATTTGTAACAAATAAATTGAAATTGAAATTAAATTTATCTAAAATATACCATATAAATCTAAATTTCAGACTTTGTACAAAAACTATAAAAATTCCACAAACTATTCATCCCAATTCCATGCATTATAATTTTAATTTCTGGAATAATTTTTGGTATGCAGTTTTATAGTTTATTAAATTCTAGTATAATAAAGTGCAAGTTTTAAGTTGTTAAAAAATCGTGTTGATTTTTGATTATTTTTTTGCTGACGGCACCAGGAATTTTCTTCCATACGAAGTAATTTTTTATATGAGAAGAGGCCACGACACAAAATCAACGCGATTTTTTAGCAATTTAAAACTTCCACTTTATTATACTCAGGGTTTGGAGATTCTCATTTATGATTACCCGTTTTCATTCATTTATGAGATTTATCATGATCGATAATATTCCAAATTTATTTTTGCATTCTTTTATCGCGAGTGAAAACATATTTAACATATATATATATAAAATTATCATCTCACATTCGGAATGCGATCGACAAAAAAATTTCCGCAGCTTTTCATTCGCGATCGAAAAAAGCAAAGAAATTTCCTCTAACTCGAATATGAGAAGTCCGAGCATTGCCGATGTCGGCCTCTCATAAATGGGAAAAACGATGCAAGTAATCCATTAGCGATCACTCACAACAAGGTTCCGCGATCATTGGCAACAAATTTGGGGATTCCACGACCAAAATAGTTTGGGAACTAATGGTCTAGACATAAGTGACTAGTAATTTTCCCTTAGTTGTCAGCGGTTAGGCATTAGTCGTTTCTTTTCATTATTCATTAGTTAGTCATCATCAAATCTAAAATAGTTTGTGCATCCGAATCAAGATTTCTACCGATGTAGAATAAATGTGCAAATTCAGTCCGTGCAGACTTTCCAATCGGTTAGAAAAGAGTGTATGCATGTGGGTTGCATTTACCAGAGTTATGCAGAATTCCCGCTAGGCATTGAAATGACAAAAAATTTAAACCATTTAAAAAATGTCATGTGGTAACAGACATAATCACTATTTTAATGAACGGCACTATGTTCACGGGTATTTTTTAATACCTGGCATTGTCATTTAATGCCTAGTGGAAATTCAGTATTAGATATAATTGAGTTAGAAGTATAAACATACTATGGATGTTGGTCAACACTCCTAAATGCCCCGTAACCGCCTAAACCCGATAAGTAAATCGGTTTTCTATACAAAATTATGTAAGTTTACGAAATTTACGCAAATGCCCAGTACGCATTTAGATGAATACCCCCCAAGTATGTGTAATACTTACTTGGCGAATGACGTGGACGACGAGGTATGCTCGGTGAACGAGCAGATCGCATTCCATGTCTACGTGTAGGTGATGTCTTATGCGAGCTATTATAACGACGCCTATGGCCAACCGGTGTTGACGAACGGCTACTTTCCGAGCTTGTGTCAGATCGGGAACTACTTGAGGAAGAATATGAAGAATTGCTACTGTAGCTACGGCGATCATGACGTCGTTTGCTACTATGGTCTCGTGAATCTCCTCGTACTCCAGGTGATCTCATCCAAGGATCGCGCCATTCGTCACCACGACCCACAGGTTCAACACGCTGAACTATAACTTCTCGAGTCGGTCGCACTCGTCGCTCATCTTCATAGTGGGGCATACGATGAGGAGGCAGCTCTCGATAACGTGCTGAACGACCATACGAATCCACATCATCATATGCTGGAGGTATTGGTGGTCCACGTGGAAATCGCTCGGTTGGACTGTACAAGCCAAGTGGTTCTTGATATAAGCCGTGACGACCATAAGGTGGGGCAATCTAAAATAACAAATAAATCATTAATCATTACAATCCGCACTTTAAGATAGTCACGCACATCTTGTGGGGAAGCCCTTTCCTTGAGATAGTATGCATCCTTTTCGATTTCATCTGGAGATAAAGTCAAATTCATTTTCTTGTCCTCGAAATCCATGTCTTGCTCTTTTCGCTTATTTGCCTTGCGCATCATTTCTTTAGCCGTTCTTAAGCCGCGTTCCCAGGCGCTTTCAATAACGACCGGAACTTCCGCTGCTGGCGCTCTAGGATCAAGGGGCGGACCAAAAACAGAAGGCGTAGGTTGCAAGCCCAATCGGTGATGCAATACCGGCCGATCCGTGCGAAAGTCATGATAGTCTATTGGATGAGCCGGATAATTGGTAGGCCGAGAGGCAGCTGGGCCAGTTTGTGTAACAGGAACAGGACGCACCAAATCAAACATGGTGTAATTTCCCTTATCTGTTACCCCAGGATGAAGAAAGCGGCAACTCATTCCCCACGTACATTGACCACGGGTATAAAAGCGGCAAACTGGTTTAGGTTCGGTTTCCTCTGGCCGTTTCTCGTCTTCATCTGTCACTTCACCTTCTTCTAACTCTTCGCCCTCTTCAGCTTCTCCATCAGATTTCGAAGCCTTTTCATTATCCTTACCTGATTTACTTTGTTGCTCATCTGTTTCTTTCTCATCATCCTTACTTATGTCTTGGCATTCACCTTCTTCAGCTTCAAAATCCAAAGCATCTTCATCATTTGGTTTGACCAACTCCACGATAGGATCATTTTGTTGCTCCAGTTCATTGGAATTTGTCGCTTCGTCTGATGGCTTTGTGGTTTCCGTAGCCTGAAATAATGTATACATATACATAAACCATGGCATACCATGTAAAGCAGTGTTTAAGTAAATTGCAGAGCGACGCATTAAAATGTTTTGACTATTTAATTTTCTTTTGTTAAATTTTTATTCAGCCCTATGGCAAATTCCATGTGAATAAATCGTTCCCATAATTTAGCCTGCAAAACAAAAAACAAATTGGGAAACATTGTTTTTGTTTTGCTTTATAATTTTTGGGAATATTTGTTCATGTTAAATTCGCAATAGGGCCGATTATTTTTTATAAAAATATACATAGTTAGTTCTACAACAAAAACCATGAAAACGAAGTTTCACACTTTCTAAAAAAGATAAAAACATTCAACAAATTGTCACATCATATCGAGCCCTAACCGCCAAAAAAACGTAAGCGACATTTTTTTCAAAATTTTCTTTTTGATGCAGAAATGCATCTAGATGCTCTAGGAATATTTCTGCATCAAAAAGAAAATTTTGAAAAAAATGTCGCTTACGTTATTTTGGCGGTTAGGACTCGATATCGTGTCTAACAGTACTGTGTGTACAAGAATGATAGAATAAATACAAGTAATTTTTAAGCAATAAACAAAACCGACTTCAATTCTCATATAAAAATTTAGGAGTACCTTTAATTTTTTCATGATCCAATGATCGGATCTAAACCAGATTACCTCTGAGACACTACCTTTCCGATGCAAAAAGAATTTTCGAAATCGGCTGACGTGGTCGAAAGTTATGTGGTAACATACATAAAAAAATATATATATATATATTATATTCCGACGAATTGATAACCTCCTCCTTTTTTTGAAGTCGGTTAACAAGATTGCGCTAATCGAGCTGAGAGCAAACGGCCGTGACGTCAACAAATACCAGAATGAGAGAGCAAGACGAACTCGACGAGAAAAAGAGGAAGTATCGAACAAAAGGCAGTATTGCCAAGTTTTGAATTTGAAAAAGCACCAAACTTTTATTGGTGTATTTTATGGACTTTATATGTATACATAATTTTATTGTAAGGATGCCTATTCAAATTAATAAAAACCAATGTTTTTTGCATGACGGTCGATTTCTTCTCGCATGATTAAAGGTGCTGCTACATATTTTGTTGTAGCTTATTACTATCACTGTGGCATGATTTTGTTTAAATTTTGAGATGAGTGAAGAATCATAAAAAATGCATCTTGAACTGCATTACTCACCGCTCAAAGTCAGTGAAATTATAAACGTTGTTTGAGCACTCCACAATATTTGTATTACGTGCAGAGTGGAATATTTGAACGCAGATGCAATTCGATTTTGAAAGCCGTCAGGAGGAGCTAAAGAACAAAGCTTATCCTTCCATAGCAAACCGAATTCGAGACAACATACGCACCCCTTTTTAAAAAGTTAGTAAAAACGGGTACAATAATAAAAACATCCGCTGCAAGACAGCTGAGTATCAAATGAGTCCTCATTTTATCATTATCACTAATTACAAAAGTGTTTATTAAAGTACTCATTTTTGTTCAGGCGATGGGAAAAATCTTAGCACTTTCCCTTTGTCGTTGTAGTTTTTTTATCTCTGCTTACTAATTGCAAACATTGATGAACGAAAAATATATCTGCTCTAAAAACTACAAAACTTTTTATTTTTGTTTTTATAAACACATCAGTGCTAATAAATAAAGTACTCATTTTTGTCGTTATAAACTCCTCAGCACTAATAACACTGTGAGACAAATGGTAGGGGTCAGTGATCGGGAAGGGTTCAAACTACCGGGGAAAGTTATATCGGTAAAAAAGAAGTTATACGTGTGCCGGCGTTTCGCTGGGTCACGTCTAGGAATCGAGATATATCGATTTGAAGTTAGTAACTATCATATAGGGGAAATTGTCACCTTTGGTGGTCTTTTTTTTTACATAACTCGAGAACCACTAGTCCGGTACATTTCGTTGAGATATCTCAATTTTTGCTCGAGTTATCGTGTACACGGACGGACGGACAGACGGACAGACGGACGGACAGACAGACATGGCTTAATCGATTTCTTTTTTCATCCTGATCGTTTTGGCTGTTTGTGCACAAGTGCGCTCGGGTATAAAAATAAAATAAGAAAAACTCCATTATAAATCCTGTGCTATCCATATTTTTGGCTTAATATTTTATTTTTATTTTTATGCTGCTTTATTTAATTTTGCTTGTTTACAAATGTTTTGGCAGTTTATGTATCATACCGTTTCTAAGACGTAACTGTTGAACTCAGTAGTTGACAGCATTTCAGAAACAGTGTGATAGCTAAACAGTTGCGTAGGTGTGTGTAAATCTGTTGAATTCGAGGGGAAACTGCTCATCCATGCCTTGCAGGGATCTTTTTTTATGTAACTCCACATTTTATGTATGTATGTATGTACTTACATATGAGCCATTCTTTTTTAAGTCGGACGGATTTCGTAAAAAAACTTATGTCATGTCTCCGATTCGCTTAAAATTTTTTTTATGGGTTCTATACATGAAATAAGCTAACACGTGTTCGAAGATTTTTTTCTTTTTTTTCTTCGGAGATATGATCTGTCAAAGTTTGCATTTCTTCGTGATTCTGACCATGTACTCCTTCAAATCGTTATATCTCGGGTTCTGCGCATCGTAGAGACTTCATCTTAACGTCGTTTTAAAGCTAAAGAAATGGGCGAAGATATTATGCCGAAATCCGCAATAAAATCTGCGTTTCGCTAACTTTAGTCCTGCAATTGCCACGCCCATTTCTAGGAGTTTGTCGCCTTAAAGAAAAATCTTGCCGTACAAATGTTATATCTGGATAGGTATTCTATCGGAGTCCGCAATAAAATTTTAATTTTTGCAACAACCCGATGTTTAACACCTTACTAAATATATCTCAACATAAGTTTTCGAAAACAAATCATATATTTAATATATAATTTATAATTTTAAATCCCTAATTTACTGGTCTTTACTATGCAAATCATCTTTAAAAAGTTCAATTGTTAATAGCTAAGTTAGCTTCGGGACAATCTTGACCACCTTATGTATAGAAATGTTAAGCCCGTTTCTTTAGCTTTAAAACGACGTTAAGATGAAGTCGATTTGAAGTAGTACATGATTGGTCAGAATTACGAAAAAATGCAAACTTTGACAGATCATATCTCCGAAGAAAAAAAAATTTAACAAAATTCCTCGAACACGTGTTAGCTTATTTCATGTATAGAACCCATTCAAAAATTTGAAACCAATCGAAAGAGTGACACCAAATTTGGTGTCCGATATGAAAAAGAATGGCTCATATATCTATTGATTTTATATAAAAAGACTAAATTGTGTTCAGTGCATATCAAAGTCTTATTTATAGATAATGAAAACAAAAACGCCTGGACTTCTTCTTTGAAAACCCCGCGCAATATCCCCTTTGGTTCCCATTATTTGAGCCAATTTTTCGTATTGCCCGTATTGCTGCTCGCGAAAACACAGAAATCGAGAAAATTCATTTATGATGACTTTTACAATCATGCACAGTATATTTTACTTAACTTTTTTTATAAAATTTTATTATTTAAACCCACGAAAATAACAATCGAAACATTCTCCATCAACAAATTTGCAATTCAGAAAAACGGAAGTACGATTGAAATGTTGAATAGGTATAATCGTAAATTTCGAAGATTGATCGAAACGAAACGGAACGCAGAATACCAAAGTTGCCTAACAGAGAAAATTTCGATTCGAGTCGAAATGCAGAATAGGGCTGATTATTATCTCCTTTTTACGTTTTGAAATCAATTTCTAAGTAAATTTTTTGTACGAGTTTCAAATAGGTTGTGTTGAAAGTACTGGCAAATAATATGCGATTCAGAATTCAAGTGTTTGGTAAGAAAAATATATAGTAGAACTCAACTGCTTTTAATAAAATGGTGTTTTATATTAAATTGTGTGAGTGCTTTATCTTAATTATGAGTTATTATTAAGCCGTATTGGCCTTGTCCCACCCGTCACAAAAAAAGCTAAAATTTGTTATATTTAATTACAGAAGTTAAGGTTGTGCTTCGTATTTGTTACATGTTAGAAATTCATTGCAAATATTTACCACAATTGCATTTTCGTTTCCACATAGTTAGATAAGAATAATTCAACAGTCAGAAATAGGTTTACAGGGCTGATAAGCTTTATTTGTTTGTTGAGGTGGGCGCAGGGGAGGAGGGGCCGAAGCGTGGACTCTACCTGCATATATACCCTTGTGGTCAGCTGATTAAGTTAAGTGACATTTTGACCAGTTTTGGTTTTTTTCTTTTGTTTATTTAATGTTTATAGTATTTTTATAAAAGCACATTGCATAACCAAAACCACATAAATCCACGTTTCAAACTTCGTACACAAATTATAAAAAATCAACAAACTTTAACAATTACACCCAAAAATGTTTCCTTTTTGTTGAGGTATGCATGCAGTTTTATAGCCCATTAAATTTAAGTAGCTAAAAGTGAAAATTTCAAGACGCTAGGAAATCGCGTTGATTAATTTAATAATTTTTTTGGCTGACGGTGCTAGGCATCTTCTATATAAAAGGCACCATCCTAAGATAAAACGTGAGTGAATTGAACCCCTACTTGGCTTCTTATTTTTTTTAATAACTAATCTTTAATATGCACCACACTAAAAGCTCCTTTTCATATAAAAATTCGTGCGTGACCCACCCGTGACAGAGGAAATTCGGATTTTTTTATAATAAAGCTATAATTTGTTGTAGTTTTTGTTTGTATTCGTGGTTCTTTGTTTTATTATAAGACACACAGAAAAGTGCAATAAATTCGCCGAGTAAAATATATCTGCTCCAAAAAGCAGGTTATTTTTTTTTTTTTTCGCCCACCCGTGACAGAAGAAATAACTCAGTTTTTTTTTATATAAAACAGAGCTGCTCACTCCATAAGCACTTGTAGCACCATGGTACAATAATTACATGTATTGTCTTCCCAGAGAGCGCATATTCCGATCTGTCTTA